ATAGGTTTAGTCAGCCGCTCACATGTGGGAGCCTCAAGCGTTTTACATTTCAGGAGTTTCGGGGCTGCTGCAAACTAGGCAGTCTCCAGGTGGCCACATATGTCTTGCAGTAGATACGTTGCTTAGGGTTCCTTATTGCTCTCACAACATCTTTTCTTTCGAATGCTGCTATCCACACGGGCTAGTATGGCTTAGTGAAGTGGTTTGCGTGATCTTGTCCAGGCATCATAGGTGCACCGTGTTTTTCGGCCAGAGTATCTTGCGTTTGAAAAGAAGCAGAGCTTCACCCGGTACAATTTCAGGGTTGCGGGCTGTTGTTCCGGACCTCTCCTCCATCCCATCTTGCAAACCCGTCTTTGAGTCGTATAGCGCCCGTGATTTCAGGCTGCCCTGTGGATGGGATGGTGTCAAGAGGACTTGGAGAAGTTGCACCAGGAGGCCGTCACAGCACTCACATCGACCGAGGGCATCTTATGGTAGGCTTCTCAGAGTCTTCCGAGGTTGGAAGAGAGAACTAAAGAACTACACCGCAACCCGAGGCTCGAGGATGTTTGAGGAACGGCTGGGGATCGAAGGAGATCGCTTGAACAGATGTGTAATTTCAATGGCAGCGCAATCATTAATGCAACTATGCAGTACAGTTTGGCATGAGAGCTTGCAACATGGCAATGTAACCCATCAGAATTTCCGTGATACATACTGCCCGCCTGGAAAGCTCCTGTCGCAAAGCCGCAAGGTGGAAGCAGGCGCTCTGGAGGCCTGCAGGACTCCAAACTGGCTGAGTGCGGTTAGGGATTTGGGTGTCTCAGTTTTTTTATTTTTTGAATGTCTGTGTGTCTGTTGCTAGGGCCATTTGGGGCTCTCGTCGGCCACTGCTGCAGATCGATGAGACTGGAACAGCTCGGTGTGGGCATCGACAGCTTGTGAACTGTTCACAAAGTCGTCCGAGTCTTACTGCTCCCCAAGGCACCTAACATCTCATCAGAAGACTACCGGGCGCCAGTGTGCTTTTTTTGATTTTCAGCTCCTCCTGTCAGCAACCTTTGCCAACCGTTCAAGTCCAGGTTCGTCATGGTTTGAGACAGGAATGCGAGAACTGAGTTGCCTCTGAGCTTCATCTCCCTCCATGCAGGAAGAAGCCCTCTTTCTCCTGCTGGATGCTGGTCTATAATAACCGATAACAATTTACGTACATGCTATTACTGTTATACACGATTAGAACCATTATATATAGTTCTGGTGTAGGTGGGCGTGGAGCTTCCTGCTTTTCTGGATGCTACGAGCTTTTGGGAAACGCCGGGAGCTGAGAGATTTCAGTGGCAACGCTTAGAGAAGAAGGTGGCCGTCGTTGTCGTGATTGTCGCAGTAGTCATGACGTCGTCGTAGTAGTCGTAGTAGTAGTAGTAGTAGTCGTCGTCGTCGTCGTCGTCGTCGTCGTCGTGATAACAACCGTTAGAACAATAAATACTAATAGTAACAGTAATTGTAGTTGTAGCTGTAGCAGTACCAGCAGTAGTAGTAGCAGACGTCGAAGAAGTGGGAGAAGTTGGAGAAGTGGCCCAAGTGGGAGAGGTGCTAGAAGTGGTAGTGGTAGCGGTAGCGGGAGAAGAAGAAGTGGTAGTGGTAGTGGTAGCATTACCAGCAGCAACGGCACCGTGGGATCATCATGAGCTACTCTGATGAATGGAAGCACCCTTAGCACAAGGACCCCCAAATTTAGAGCGAGCTTGCGAATGTTAAGAACCCCCCGCTTGTTGACACGAAATAGGGGCTCTGATATTTCATGATATGCTATCATGTACTATAATGTATGCTATGCTATATTGCAGTATGCAAATGTTTATGATTTAAGATACAAGCTCATGTAGGCCACGTCGTGCTCGGCAGATTGCGGCGCGACTTCGGAGCCTGGCAGAGGAGCGAACTCTGGGTTCACTCAGACTCGGGGCTATTGGAATATATGAACCTTTAACTTATAAGCTGAGTGATGGTTCATAAGGCGTGTCTTGCAGAGTTTCGTGTGTTCTGCTGGCAACATAGCAAGGCTTCTGATTCTAAATATTCTGAGCTTCAAAGCATCAAGCAGAGCTCGCAAGCTGTGGCATGTTGTGAGTGGTTGCCCAGGCTTAGATATACTCCCGTAGATATATACCCGAAACCATGTCATCATACTTTGTGGTATGATGAACAGCATTTGCAGATGCGTACATGTACAAGCATGCAGCAGTACATCTACACATATGGCACATACATATGACAACACATGCTTGTACACTTGCACGCTCTCTGCATGTATACCTTCCCTTTCCTGGTATGCTGGTTGCTCTTGGTCATCATTGTCATTATCTGCTCCTTGTTCACTTGCAGTCGGTATACTTAGAAAGACCTTGCGCACAACATCTGTACCCGGAAACCAATCTAGCATGACCTGCGAGGAGCTGGATGCTCAGATGGCCAGCCTGACGTCAGTTTCTTCTGCATAGCCAACCATGGGTACTCATGGTTGGTGTTGATGAGTCAGAGTCCTTGAATGATTTGCGGATGGGGTGCAGAAGATTGCCAGCAACGGCAGGCTCGGTCCCGAACATCTACTCTTTTCACTCGCGCATGTCGTGAGTGGATCTGCCAATGCCAACTTTCCAGACGCACTTTAGGACCGCAAGAGCAAGATACTACACTCCGCATTTCGACTGCTGTTTTCCCCTGTTGCAAAATCAATCTAGGCACAGCACCGACTAGAGTGAGTGGAGATGCGGCGCCAATGAGTACTGCACGGCAGCGTCACTAACAAAACAACAGGTCACCACAGAACAACAGCTGTGTGATTTGATTGTGTCGCAACAGGTAACGGTGGAGTCGTGACATGGTTCGAGTATGGGGTGTGCCAAATTGCCAGGGCCGTGTGCGGAGTGCTACAGAACCCGAGCTGCGTTGTGGCGGTGCTACTGCAGCAAGGCGCCCGACAGAAGCCTTCGGTGCGAATGCAGCAGCAATCGAAATACCAGGTCCTCAACACAACTTGGGATGCACCTAACTTGCCGACGTGTTGAGGTATGTCCCCCAACGTTCTTTGCCTTTGGGATCATGTCTCTCAGCATTCTTCAAATTTCTTCAACACGGGCGTTTGTAAGAGTGGGGTCGGGTGGGGTTGGGGTGGGGAAACGTATCAGCTGGCATGCGGGCTTTGTTCACGGCCCGCTGGAGGCAGCACACTTGCACCCTGATCTCGAGGTACTTGCGCCAGCTGCGCAAAGAAGTGCAGCAGGCGGTCTGCTGCAAAATCAGTTAGAATCAGTTGAGGCCCATGCTATTTCTATTCAGCTGCTAAACCAGAACAACTTCAAATGGAGCCAACTTAGCGTACTGCTGTGTTTTTTTTGTCGGTCCCAACTGTTTTGCTTCACGGAGTTCAACAAGACCTATCCCAGAAGCTAAACCAAAATCGCATCTCATAGAAGCAGCATAGAACCATGGTTTTTGAACATCCAAAGGGTCCTTGGCAGCTTCCCGCCCCATGTCGGAGATGTGGTATGAGCCGGTGGGAGAGCGTCTTGATGCCAAGCTGCGCAGACGCGAGGCTCGTGCGAAGAAAATCGCTTCGTCTTCGACTTGCCCTATCCAAAATAGAAAGCGAAGACCTCCAGCCGTGGGAGGTCTTCCTTCCCGCCGAGGAACTTCTTCCGTTGATGTGCGCATCCTCGGTGATTTCGAGATGGATGGCCTTATCTTGAGACATGATGCAGTTGAAGACCTTGCGCTTCATGCACCGGTGCACCACTTTCGTTCCGAACGGAAGTAGTGTGACGGTGCGTGCAGGAAGCACCAGAGGACTGTCGCGTGGCTGAGGTGGCCTTCTTTAGCGCGCGTTTTGTTTTTTTTTCGCACCTTTCTGTCCGACGTGGGTAGCAATGGTCCAATGGTAGCAACACATGCAACACTTCAGAAACGTGCCCATCGGAGATGGCCTAGGCAGCGTGCTGCTCCCCAAACAAAATTTGCCCTTCCCTTCCCCAAGTGCCGCAAGACTCATGGCAGTGAGTCGCTCCACCCCCGACCGAGACCATTCGAGAAACTCGGAACTATGGTCCAGCTAGACTTCTTGAGGATTCCGTTTGGAGTTGGTGTCTCGCGGATAGGATGTTCCTTTGTCTGCAGCTAGTTTTTTTATGGATTGGTCTGGCACTGGCCGGTGGGACCGATAGATGGGTCTGTGTATCTAGCGGCTGCCGTTGTGGACATGTAGTGTGGAGTGGGCCGGAATGTGGTGCTCCATTGATTATGCGTGGTGCTGGCACCATGAGTTCAGCTTGGGTGGCGCGTATATTTGTCTCCCCACCTCGTGGCACACATTTGCAGTGGAGCAGTTCTGCTGACGTTTGAGGTCCTGTGAGGCTGGTTAGTATTAGATAGATAGGTAGATAGATGGTGTACCAAGTAGGTTCCTGCCACAAAGGCGCTGGCATTCCGACGGCTGGGAACCTTCTCGATCCAAAGGTTGTCCCTTGTCGTTGTCGGGCTTGCAGGCTCCTTTCTTCAAGCTTCGGCAAGGGCTCGCCTCCAGGAGTTTTCTGGGGCTCGCCAAGCCTGTCTTCTGATAGCTCTGACCCGAATTTGGTGAGCCTCACGGCAACATGCGCTGCGCTCGCAATCAACCTTATTATTCTGTCCTGTCGCCAGTCGCCACGAATGAAGCCTGGCCTGGCTGGTGCAGTACGGTGCTGGCACTTGCTGAGCATTCGCGGGAGACAGGCAGACAGGCGGAGACGAGAGACACCTGGGCGGAGACAGACGCAGACACCCACCCAGCCACATGAAGAAACCCCATACGGGCCAGCCTGAAGCGAGCTTTTTCGTCGTGGCCCTGTGCAGGCCGGCCGGGCCACAGGAGGATGGAAGTGGCTGGACACTGACAAGACTGGAACGGGCCGATGGTTGGTTGATGTTGCTTGTTGCTTTTGGGGTTCTGCCGTTTGTTTCGGGTGAAGTGGTCGGGATCTTGCAAGCGATTCGCATCTGTTGAGCGTGGTTGCAGAGGCCTCAAGGGCCGATGTTGAACGGGTCGTCTGTAGACCCGACTTTTTTGCTCAGGGCTTCTTCTCCGGGTCGTAAGTCTTCGTGTTGCATGACAGGCGTGCAAGCGGGCAGGGCAGAATTTGCAAATCGGGTCGGCAGCAGCCAGCAGCAGAGATCGGAAGGGCTCAAGGCTCAAGGTAATGTGATTGCATACAAGCGTGTCCGCAACTTTTTTTGCTCACAGCATCGGGCTGCGGGACGGAACGCCTCATGCCGGCGTCGGAAGAGGCTAGGTCAGGATGTGTCAAGATGCGTTTAATTTGACGGAGTTGTTGAGAGGGCTCTGCGGTCTGAATTAAGTCTGACTTACGCCATGTTGGCCACAGGATAGGATAATAATTGATGTGCTTCTCAGGCAGCTCTGCTGTATGCGTTAGAAGCACGGCCTCCGATTCTCCCTTCTGCCGGAGCCACAGGCGACGGTGCGACTGACAAGGTTGGGACTGGAAGGCGACGGAGTGAACCGCCAGCTGCCACCTGGCCTAGGCCTAGAGCTTCGGGCACAACTGGGAGTCTAGGATTGGGTTGTTTCGTTCGCATGAAGACCTTGTGCGAAGTACACGCGCGCACGCGCGCTCACATACACACAGGCAAAGGACCAAAAACGTCCGCACAGAGAAAGGTGCATACACGCTTCACAGACGTGCATACGTATGCACGTGCACACAGAGACACAAAAACACACACAAACAGAAACACGCATCTCTATCCTGCTCTCTCCCTCTCTCTCTTCCCCCTCGCCATCCCGCCATGAGGCCCGAAACCGAATTCAGGGTTCGCCCGACCATACGGGATGGTGCTGCATCCGAGGTTCGAGCTCTTGTGGAAGAGAGACCTTCTCAGCGATCAGTCGGTTGCCCTTCGTGCCTCGGCTCTAGACCGTGGATCCTTCCATGGGTCTGCTCCTGGAGGTGCATGGCTGCGATATGTGCCCTTGTGTATCGAGGTTTCTGCTCCAGGCGACGGCTAGGTGAAGCTAGGGCTTGAGCGGGCACAGCAGCTGCACCGCACGGTGGCTGAGGGATACCCGACTCCATCGTCTTTAAGTTCAACTACCCGTCCTTCTCTCAGTTCAGAGCACGCGCTACGGGCTGAACCAAGTATGGGGACAGTCATCAGTGCAATCAGAAGAAAGGAAGACAGGTTGCAGTTGTTTTTGGCGCTTTTCGATGGAAATTGCCCCTGCTGGGCCTACAGCTCGGTTTCACGAGCCCATAAGGTCAGTTTGGTACTTCACGTCCTTGGATGGCACGCTGAAGCGCAAGCACAAGTCGAAGCTGAACGATGAGCCACCGGCTTAGCCATCCGTTGCATATGCTTGTTACAGCTATATCCGAGCGTTGATCATGCTAACTTTGCGCATCGTCCTTAGCTGATGCCTTTATGGCAGATGGGCTTTTCCTACGGAAGTAGTCTGGAATTGACGTGTCTCTGCTTGGAGGTATATCTTCCAGCAATTCTCGAAGCGACCTCCAGCGTGTGGCATCGTTGCCTACTATGTGTGGACCTGAGCTCGAATCTGGAAGATGGAAGCCACCACTGCATTCGTGCCTCTGAACTATATAGGCCTGTGCGGCACAATTTGGACAGAGCAGTCATGCTCCCCGGAGGTCCGGACTGTCGTCGATGCAGAGGATGCTCATAAAGGCCTATCGGCCGATGTCGGTGTTCTTGCACACGAGCTGTCGCGCAATCTTGCTCCTCCGAAGCGGTCCCGGAAAGAGGGCAGAGTGAGTTCAGGGTTCAAGCCGATACTGTGTGCTGCATTTACGGAGGCCTGGCTGAGAATGTCCCAGCTCCGACTACCATTGAGTACTTGAACGAGGCTTGTGTTGCGCCTCTCTCTCCGACTCTCTCTGAATTCAGCACAGTTCGATGTGGGCGCTTCCCTTTTGGAGCTCACCAGTTCCTGAGCTCCTAATAGCCTGATGCGGAATTTGGCAGGCTCAGCTGCATGACTTCTTGTTCAACAGGCTCCCTGGCTGCCACGGCTTTTAATCGTCCCCACGTAAAGGCCGCCAAATGTTCAGGACACGCTCCCAAATCTGTGGCAACGTGAACTGAGAGGCCTTGTCACAATTATTCCTCTGACCATACCATGCAAAACGGAGCTGGGTTAGTTTTACGAACCTAGGCAGCGGGAGAAGGGCAGCGGCTTGCTACAGAAGTTCCTGGAGCCCTTCGGTGATCGTCCCTCTGGCTGCAGAGAGGATGCCGAAAGAGAACCACCCCAAGAAACGAAAGCTGCTAAAGCCAGACCATCTCGAAGCTGATGCCCCATGCCTCGGGCTCTGAGTCTGCTGATTCTGCTGTTAACAGGAGCAGAGTTAAGCTGCTTGGGAAGAGTTTTGAGCACAGGGAACGGAGAAAGCTAGCATGTAAGAAGCTCTATGCAATTCGGCGCACGAAGGAATGGCTTGCGGACGGATTTGCGTTTTTGTTAGTTTGTCTGCAGCTTGGTAGCCGTTGCGTTTCAATCGTTGGTATAGTGGAGTTGGCACCTGCAAGCCCGCAGAGCTTCTTGCAGAGGTGCTTTGTAGTTTCCTCAGAAGCATGTTGTGTTTTGGCATCGAACTTCCGATGCCAGCTCTCAGCCTGTCAAGAAACGCAGAAGATTCTACCGGGCTCATGCAGTTCTCGAATCCTCAATGGGCAACCCTAAACCCTAAAAGCATCCAAAAACCCCCTACACCCCAAACTCCTGACCTTGCCAGGCTTTGTCCGAGTGTGAGTGTCAAAAACTCCGAATCCTGAAACCCAGAATCCTCAATTCGCAACCCTTTCAACCCTAAAAGCCCTAAACCCGTATGCTAAAACCCCCGATCCTCAACTTCCCACAGGGAACAACATGATTCGCGCTCTCTGGTCGCCCAAAGTCTGCCTCCTCGAGCGGCGCCTGAACTGCGGCCTGGCCAGGGGGTGTATTAATTGAGAAAAAGTGTTACGTATATCATATAAAAAACATTGTAGTAGACTTAGTTAGGCTACCAATGCAAATATAGTATATACACTAGGATACATAATCCAAGATGATGTAGTAGGGGTAGTTCGGGCTAAGGCTAAGGGTTTCGGTTTCGGTTAGGAGTGTGAGCTTTGTCAGGGACGCGGGGTCCACTTAGGCACACGGAGGGGCCCGACTGGTAGGCATCGCAAGGTCTCAACCTAAACGACACCCGCTACGACATGTACGAG